ATCGTGGTGGAACACATGGATTCTGCTTTTATTTCCCTGGAAGACACCCACCGCCCCCATCCCCCCGTGTGTGTGTGTGTGTGTGTGTGTGAGCGCTCAGACATGCCTGTTTCTAAGTTACCAGCTTCGTTCTGCTGCCAGTTGAGTGTAATTCGGAAGTACCTTTAAGCTTCAAAACAACTCGAGTGATTTGAGGGAAGGACAACCTTTTGCTGTGGTGGTACCATGGTACATTGATTGTAAAACCATGAACCATTATAAAGATGTTCCTGTTAGTACGTATGGTTCTCTGAGAAACCAAAAAAAGTGGTGTTACTGGCAAAAATATTCCAATGGACAGGTTTTTTTTCTATTTTATTATATATTCTATATCTAGTATTATTTTTATTTCTGTCAACAATGTTACTAACATGGTATTCTTGGAGGTACCTACTTACGCAAATATCATAGTACATGATTTTAGTATCACATTACTTTTCAAACATTTGGGTCAAATATGGACAAACCCAGCTGTTGGGTAAATTTATTAAATGTATTTTTTAATCCAACATTTGGATTTGTCCATTTTTGACCCAAAATTGGGTTAAAAACACCCAGCATTTTTAGAGTGAAGTTGCATTGTATTACCATCTGACATACAGTACCATGGTACAAACGCAGCACTTTTAGCTACATGGTACGGTATTGAAACAAACAAACATGGATAATACGCCCCTAAAACCATGGTATTATCGTTAAACCGTATCTAAAAACACGCACTTACAAAAAAGCACTATTAATTACTCTGTAAATATCATATACCATACTTAATATCAAATATCATACTTTTCTAATGGAGGTATTTCCATGCTATCGTATCCAAATAAAAAAATCATGCTATTACCATAGTCAAATGTACAGTAGGAACCTTCAAATTACCATCCAAAAGATCATGATAATTCCATATTTAGTTAGAAAACAGACCAAAATCTCTGTTTTTCGGCGTTGACACACTTATGTGCGTCTGTTCTATCATCAGATCACAAAGTCGTAATCAAACTGATCTGAAGTCTGGCATCTCTTCATTCTCAACAGATCTAAACGGAGCAATCCGCGATCCCACGTGTGGGAAATACTAGTTGCTTTCCTTCTTTATCAGAAACAGCAGTCGCCACTCACCTCCGTTTCCCTGCGAGGGGAATCCCTCAGAAATCCCTCCTGTCCTCCTCTCTCTTTCTGTCTGTGTCAGTTTGTCTTTTGTTGCTCCTCAAACTCTTTTTCTGCACGCTGGGTGGCCGTTAATGTGGAGCTCATCCTGGTCCTGCAGGAATCCTGGATGTGTCCGTCAAAAACCAGAGAAGAGCCAAAGCTGAAGACCTCACCAGTGAATCCTGGAGCTCCAAATGGAGAGAGCATGAGATATGAGAGGGAGAGAGAGAGAGAGAGTACAATGTGAGAAAGGAGGGAGGGGAAGGTAAAGCTCTCAATGAGAGAGAGAAAGAGAGAGAGAGAGGAGGAGGTTGTGTGAGGAGAATTATGTTGTGTGTGTGTGTGTGTGTGTGTGTGTGCAGGCATGCAGTGGCCCCATATAAAATTTGGTCAAACTGAATGTCACTGTATTTGATAAAGCAAGTGGGATTATTCTGGCATTATAAGACAAATGTTTCTCAGAAGGATTTTTGAAAATATAAAACAATAGATCGAGTATTGAAGAAACTAGTCCGGGGTGAATCTTAAAAAAACCCAGGTCACACTTTGCATCAAAAACACGAAAAACAAATTATAAATTATATTTTATAGCACATAAATAAAAAGAGCTTATTTTAGGATCATGAATGATTTTATTAATTATTATTTTTTTTATTGTTAATGACCATTCAATTTCTCAATATATACAGTGCATCTGTGTTTGGCCTTTTTTTTGTAATTATATTATTGTCAATTTTTCGTTAAATTCTTATTACCATAATACAGTACCTTTTTATTATTAATAATTTACTTGTGATTTAAAATTTTTAAAAGCATCCTTTGGTTTAAAATGATTTTTGCAGCGTGCCTGTCTTAATTATAAAATAAAAAATATTCATTTTAATTTAACAAAATATAATTTCTTATTTCACTCTTTTCATTTGTATTTGATCTTATATTTAAGCTATTTGATAATTTCATCTAATTCAATTGTAAGACCTCATTAGTTTAAAAGCTTATAAATGGACCAAATAAGGCTTTAAAAATGTTTAATTATTTTTTTTATTATATTATATTATTATTTATATTATATATTATTTTATATTATATTATTTTATATTATATTATTAAACAGGATATATGTTTATAAAAATGTTTTTTATTATAATATTTTATCATTAATTTTATTTATTTTTTATTATATATGTATTTAGTTTTAGACCGGGGGTTTTTAATACAAATATAAATACACGCGCACACACAGTTTTATTTATTTTATTATATTTATATTATATTGTGCCTTTTTTATAGGAGATATCTTAAGACAAACAAACCTGTGTGTGTGTGTGTGTGACAGTCCTCTTTTCATTAGACTTTAATCTAATTTACTCTGACACTCTTCATGTGTCCTTTGTGTATTTGGGATCACACAAGGTTACGTCTCTTATTCAAATGCGCACACACACACACGCGCGCACAATAGTAGGTTTGACTGTCAAATGATTTCATCCAGAATTAATGACTGAATTACTCTCATGCCCTGAGTGTCATTGAAAGTGTCTGTGTGTGTATGACGGCGGTCTTTTTTGCTACTAACATAGTTATGATTTAATAAAATCCCTCTGTAGTGTCACATTAAACCCTTTCAGCGGTTCTGAATTGCTACAAGATTCGCTCTCTCACACACACATCTGCCCACAAAACAATATTAAATCGGCGAACGCAAGAGCATATGGTACTGTCAGTAAACACACACCCTCCCGATGAAAGGACACCAGGGCCGGTGTAGTCGAGGAACAACTGTCACTTTGGTAAACAATCTCCTGCACATTAATTCAGCTGTGACCCGCCGGAAGAGCCGCGCTGGGTTGTAAATCACAGGTGTAGCGTCAGCGCCGCGAGGAAAGATGATGTTTACAAACCCAATTCCTCTAAACTTACTTAAACATTTATTCCTGGGCGAGAGAACACCACAAAATGAGCTCTCAAAGCAGAAAGCAGTCACTCGAGGACAGCTTACGTCTGCCACGGGAAATAAAGGCATTTAGGTCATCATGAGCGTTTTCTTTTGAAACTTCTGAAATGCTGTAGTGTCAGGCTGCTGTAATGACGGGAACACTTGGTATTTGCTGAAAGGAATTGGGAAATATTGGAAATCGCCATAAAATACCACCACAAACTCGATATAGAAGCACAACAACCTGCACTGAATGACTTTCATTTTGGAAACTTGGAAATGTAAAAAGCTTATTTGTTTAGATTTGAGAGATATTTCTAATTTAAAAACCAGGTCAAAGGTCACAAACGTTCCAATGATGGTTTCCAATAAATGATTTAATAGAACATCAAGAACATTTTTTTTTTTTAAATTTATTTATTTAACAGGGACAATGTACAATATATGTACTGTACCAGATTTAGCTAAAAGCTAATTCTCATCTGCAGTCCCTGGGCAGGTGCCAAAAGCGTACAAAATATTAAAATAAAACCAGAGATGTGTAGAAAAAAGAACCTTTGAGGAACCTTTATTTTTTGTTAAGTGTACTGACAAAGTAGACATTTCAGGCGATCTGAGGTTTATGGATCTTCTGAACAGAGTTCTCGTGTTGTTTTCCAGGACAGACTGTACAAGCAGGATCAACTTACACACTTTGAACTGTTATAGCGGACAGACTGTTCTGGAGAGACGTGCCAAAACCCTGATGCTCACCACCACTTTTATTTATTCCATGGTTATTTTTGCATGTTTAAGGTTTTTACTTCGTTCTTTTTGAGATTGAAAATGTACATTGTGACGCCAGTAGTTCACTTTAAAAAAATGTCTTTCTTTCTTCAGTCGAAAAGAAATTAAGGTTTTTGATGAAAACATTCCAGGTTTTTCTCCATATAACGGACTTCATTGGGAACCAAACGGTTCAAGGTCCAAATGAGAGTTTCAGTGCAGTTTCAAAGGTCTTTAAACGACACCAGACGATGAATAAGGGTCTTATCAAGCTCATTTAAAAAATAAATAAAAAAGTTTAAGTTTTATAAGCACAAATGGTCACCTTGCTCTGTTCTGTGATGTGCGTTTGTGACTCTCCTATTCGAATTCCATCAAAATGAACGAATCTTTTTTCGAGTCATGACTTGAAGGGTCCTAGATAAGACCCTTATTCATCGTCTGGTGTCGTTTAAAGCCCTTTGAAGCTGCACTAAAACTCTCATTTGGACCTTGAACCGTTTGGTTCCCAATGAAGTCCATTATATGGAGAAAATCCTGGAATGTTTTCATCAAAAACCTTAATTTCTTTTCGACTGAAGAAAGAAAGACATGGACACTTTGGATGATATGGGGGTGAGTAAATTATCAGCAAAAGTTTTTCTAAAAGTGACCCACTCCTTTAAGGTCCGTGTAATGGTTCTTCATGGTTAGTTTCATGAAGCACAAGAGATTAAAAAGCTCTTTGTGGACCTCTACAGCTTTATTTTTTGCAGCGCACAGTGAGGTCAGGTTTTAGTGAGTGCGTTATCAGTCGGTTTTGCTCTTTTCTTGGCACTGTGCACACGTGAGAGTCATGGGTCATGACCTTTGACCTCAGCCTGATGTGGTCTTCACATCACAGTCATGCGGTTGTTGGTTGTTGTCTCTCTGTTAAAAGAGCCTCTCTGTTTGCCATGTCAAAACGTCTCTGATATTCTCATTTCGATGACTCCCTCCTTCAATGTTTGTCTGTGGATTTTATGGTCTAAAAATGAATAACACTTGAGATATCCTAATTGATTCGGACACTTAATTATCCTGTATCTCAAATCATGTTTTCTCATAATGTCCTCTCTGGTGTATTATATAGTTTCATGGACTTTCCAGACGCATGCAAGCGAAGGCTACATGATTACAGTGTAGGTAAGCCATTCATTTTCAAACTCTTGTACACACAGTCACACACACTGGAATATTTAGTTAAATGTTATTGTTCGAATTTACGCTGATTCGTTGGTTGTTTTGAATGCATTTTCCACATATATTCAAAGTTTTAATGTTGTCAGTCTAATGTTCATTTTCAATATGTCCAATACACACTTTTATACCAATAAATTGATCAAAAGTCATCAACATTGATAAAAATATCAACCATTTATAATGTTATAGAATATTTCTATTTCAAATAAATGCTGTTCTTTTCAACTTTCTAAAAAAAAAATCAACTGTTAATCAACTGTTTTCAACATTAATAATAATAATAAAAATTTCTTAAATATCAAATCATCGTATTTTTATGATTTTTGAAGGATCATGTGACACTGAAGACTGCAGTTTACAACAATGAATGACATTTTATTACATACAAAACAGTTATTTTAAATAGTAATCCATAATATTACTGTTTTTTTATAATAGAATAAAAGAACAGTAGTGTGTGTGTGTTATTTTAAACACTTAAATTTAGTTACATTTTGTTAGCTCACATTGTATAACTACTTGTTTAAATGGAAGCTCGACCGTAGTGACTTTAAATAATGAGCCCGCAGCTTTTCCAGCACTGTACTCAACTCGTCTCTCTCTCGTCCTCTCTTTATTTATCTAACAATTCATTACACAGATGATAGTTCTCCACATGGCGGCGGCTCCCACAAGGAACACTACCTCTCTAATTTACCTTGCAGAAACAGAAATCAAAGAGCCGCCATGAAACAAATTAGAGATCATTTGAACCTCCGACTGAATGGCAATGAATAAATCAGCAATAAATGCAGAAAACACATTTTGAGTCCACTAAGGGGAACTTTAGAGCTCGTTGGCTGTAATATAACCGGTGCGTTGTAATATAAGCGCTCGAAATGTCAATTCTGCTCTTTGCCCAAACCATTATGGATTTTTCTTTAGCGCATAAAATGCGCGGATCACAACTCATCAATACCCGTGGGCGTTGGACACGAGAGAATTAGTTACAGGAGAAGACGATCGGCTCATTACTTGCAGGGTTAAAGGTCAACTCTTGGACCCTAGGGAGTGTTTTTGAATGTCATCTGTAATTCAGAGGCATCATTCTCTCCTCGTTTCTCTCCAGATTGGCCTGTAGGTTTATTTTAAAATACAAGAGAAAACATTCAAAATAAGAAATAAAAAAATCACACCCAAAATAAGCGAGCGTGTTTCAAATCAGTGAGGCGGGACGCCGCAGAGAAGAGCCGTCCTGTGCCCATACATTCAGTACACCTGGTAATCTGGCTTTAGTTTTGGCCGGGTTTTTCTTGTGATTCATAAAATGCTGTTTCACATCAGTTCTTGTCAAAAGCAATGAATTATATTAATAAATCTCGCACTTGCTTTAGAGCTTTAAATCACTCTTCTCCTGGGCTGATTTCACCACTGGCCATTTGATCGTTTTTTTTGGCCTCTGAAGGACAAATGAGTCTTTCAAAGAATCTGGGCTGAATCAATCTCAGTCCTGATGGATGAGCTGAGCCTGTGAGTTTGGACAAGTGGACCTAGAGACCTAACCTTGGTGCAGCCTGCAGACTATACAGCACAACTGCTCAAACATCTCATTTGGAGAACTATTGACAAGACTGATTAGATCGGAATAGATTTTTTTTTACTATGATGAACTATAATATGAAATACTCACCTAAAGGATTATTAGGAACACATGTTCAATTTCTCATTAATGCACTTATCTAATTAACCAATCACATGGCGGTTGCTTCAATGCATTTAGGGGTGTGGTCCTGGTCAAGACAATCTCCTGAACTCCAAACTGAATATCAGAATGGGAACATGGTTGTTGGTCTGAGAATTTCACAATCTGCTCAGTTACTGGGATTTTCACACACAACCATTTCTTGGGTTTACAGTGTGACATCCAGTGTGAAGTAGTCCTGTGGGTGAAAATGCCGTGTTGATGCTAGAGGTCAGAGGAGAATGGGCGACTGATTCAAGATGATAGAAGAGCAACTTTGACTGAAATAACCACTCGTTACAACCGAGGTATGCAGCAAAGCATTTGTGAAGCCACAACACGCACAACCTTGAGGCAGATGGGCTACAACAACAGAAGACCCCACCGGGTACCACTCATCTCCACTACAAATAGGAAAAAGAGGCTACAATTTGTAAGAGCTCGCCAAAATTGGACAGTTGAAGACTGGAAAAATGTTGCCTGGTCTGATGAGTCTCGATTTCTGTTGAGAGTCAGAATTTGGCATAAACAGAATGAGAACATGGATCCATCATGCCTTGTTACCACTGTGCAGGCTGGTGGTGGTGGTGTAATGGGGTGGGGGTGTTTTCTTGGCACACTTTAGGCCTTTTAGTGCCAATTGGGCATCGTTTAAATGCCACGGCCTACCTGAGCATTGTTTCTGACCATGTCCATCCCTTTATGGCCACCATGTCCCCATCCTCTAATGGCTACTTCCAGCAGGATAATGCACCATGCCACAAAGCTTGAATCATCTCAAATTGGTTTCTTGAACATGACAATGAGTTCCTGTACTAAAACAGTCACCAGATCTCAACCCAATAGAGCATCTTTGGGATGTGGTGGAACGGGAGCTTCGTGCCCTGGATGTGCATCCCACAAATCTCCATCAACTGCAAGATGCTATCCTATCAATATGGGCCAACATTTCTAAAGAATGCTTTCAGCAGCTTGTTGAATCAACGCCACGTAGAGTTAAGGCAGTTCTGAAGGCGAAAGGGGGTCAAACATATTATAATGTATTACTTATACGTTAACAAACATATAACGTGTTAGTGTGGTATTCCTAATATATATATATATATATATATATATATATATATAGTAATAAATAAATACATAAAATATTATTGTTATATCATTATATGAAATATATTTTAAAAAAATATTTTATGTTATGTTTTGTCTATAGGCTATTCAATATATAAAATTACTTTTTGTAAATAATACATATTATGTCAAAGTATACGAATATTACAATTATTTTTATATTTATTATATATTGTAGTAAGTAAATACATAATACATTATTTATACTATTATAAGTATATTTATATGAAATAAAATTATCAAATAGATTAGTAAAAATGTGTTTATTTCTATTTTAACATACAATACATCACATTATATTTATAAAAAATAATGAATGACATATTTGTATTATAATTATTATTTGTATATACTTTCTAATGCTTTCAGATGTGGGATTTTCCGCCCGGCTCATTAGTTTATACTGCATTTCCTGCTAAAATCGGCACAGGAGAAAAATGCGGAAACTGTCCACAGATTCCGTCCGGATCATGAATCTTCTGACATTTCATTAAATCATGACGTTTAAACATCTTTGAAGGCTGTTGGCTCTATGATTATGTATCTGGCAGATGCTTTGTTGTGATCAGGATGAATTGTTGAGGGTAATCTCTGAAGCCGCTGCATATTATTATCACATAGAGAGGTTTTATTTAGATGTTATTTGGTTCTCATTGGGGAAGCCTCAGTGGGATCTCTATATTCAGCATGCGAGACATTCAGGATTGTGTATTCCTGTTCTAGCTGTCAATCAAATCTGAAAAAGCAAAGGAATTTATCACATTTGGAGCCTCATGAGGAATATCGGCTTCTCAGTCTGAATAATCATGCAGTTTATGTTTGTTTCTACAGACTTTCTCTATGGAAGCAACAGAAAAGAGCCTGTGCAGGACTAGCTTCTCAGTCGTCACACAAAATGAGTTTTCTTCAGCGAGATCCCTCCTTAAGCTCTGAGAGTCCAGTGATGCGGTGATGGGACGAGTAGTTCTGTGTCAGACTCTTACACAGCCGTTCTCTGGTGTCCTCAACTAGATCAGTGATTCACATCCATTCTGCAACTCTAGAGAAAACTCGTCTGTAATCGAAGAAGTTTCACCCATCCTCTGCACCTCGTAAGTTTCAATATTTTAATGTACTAATAAGCCAAATAATTATTGTTATACCAAAATATATGTTTCAAATGCAAAAATCTATAAAAAAAATAATAATATAATATTTTTTTAAATATAAAATACATTTTTTTAGTATTAAAATAATTGTTTCAATATTTTATATATATATAGGCATATATATATAGGCATAAATATATATTATTTCAATAATATTATATACAGTGTATTCAATTATCAGACTTTTGAATAATTATATAAAAATGATTTATTCAATATAAGAATTATTAGAATATATATAATTATTATTTTTATAAAATTAATTATTCAAAAATCTGATTATTTTCCAAATAGTTAATAATTGGTTGCAAAGTCAAGTCAAACTTGACTTTCTACTGCACATTTAAAAGCAATTGCACCAAAGTGCTGTACAATAAAACATCCAGCATTTAAAAGGAATGCATAAAAGCATATTTTACATCCATTCTGTGAAATTCTGCAGATTTTCTTACAAAATCAGTGCAAAAACTGTGTTAAAATTCATAACGTCCACAGTTTACTGAAATGTTAACTGTTAGTTGTGTGCCCTGAGAAACTTTGATCAGTGTACAGGGTTTGAATCTTCTGAATCTCCAGCAAAACTCCTCAGGCCTCATTTGCATTGATAATTGTGGAAATATGTAAATTAGATCCACCCTAAAACCCAGACACTGACGCTCCGCCTGAAAAAAGAGTGAAAACATCTGATGTAAGAAAATACTGCTATTTTCATCTCTTTATTTGTGCCGTCTGCATATCTCGATTAAATGTGCAGACGTCACGGAAACGTGGAGAAAATCAATTGAACGGATTTATCACAGTCGTCGCTCAGAGACACCTGCTCACGGCAGATGACAAACACCTTCGTCTCACTGGTAGACTTTGAACTTGTTTAAATCTTGTCCTAAAATGTTTATATGTCTGAAATATTCAGACTTTGGTATCTTTGCTGATCTTCACTGTAAAAAATGATATGATCAATAAGTTATGACAACATGTTTATTGTAATGTGTGATTACAACCCCTTCACACACAGGCAATAAAAAATGATTAATTTTAGAGGAAAAGTTACATAGATCACCTTTAAGTTGAAATTGGCTAATAAGCACAGGTTGAGAAGGTGTTGAGAACACTTTTCAAAGTCTTGAACAGACAGAACGTATTTTTGTGTGTGTGAATCAGATATGCTAAGATATAGGAGACATAAATACCAACTCTTTCTCATCCTATCCCCCAAACCAAATGATATGAGCTGCTATTTATTGTACATTCATTTTATAGAATTATCAGCAGTTTTCTCACATTTAATGTCATCGCTGTATTTTGAGAAACAAACTCTAAAATATTTTTTGGCTGGATATATGAAATGAATACAAGGAAACTTGTGAGAATTTAATATTTAAACCTTAAACAAAGTTTGACTTAGAATTTTTGTTTGGTCACCCGTCAGGCCTTTTTTATTATATGTAGTGTTTACTGAGGAATGAAAAAAAAGGCTATTTGTGCCAAATAAAAGTGACCTCTGAGTTATACAAACTGCCCCTGGTCACTCGACACTCGCATGCGTGTCACATCTGTCTGTCATGCCCTGGAACTCATTTCTCATCTGTGTGTGTGTGTGTGTGTGTGTGTCATACACAGGTGCACAGTGGTAGGGCGAAGAGAAGCTCCAGCAAGAAACACGATTTGATTTGTCATCCATGCCCAGAGGGATCTCTCACACACACATACACGCACACTGTTTATGCCATCCATTACCCCACAAACAAAATTACATATACACACTTTTTTCCAAGAGACATAAACACTCCTGACAGAAGTGTCGGTATGACAGATCTTTGAGCTGAAATGCTGTTCGGTATCCTAAAGAGACCCAGAGGAAAATCTATTATTGTTTAGAGGTTTCTTTTTCTTAGCAGGAGTTTATCTTAAAATGAACTAAAATGGACACATGAGACTATAATCAGTGTTGGGGAACGTTAGTTTTAAAAGTAATGCATTATTACAATATTAGCCTGGTCCCACCAGACTCTCATACATTTCATTTGTACAGAGAGTCTGGCCTCGCTCCATTGACAAGCATTAACCGGAGTCACGTTGGCTCTGATGAAACCAATCGCCAACGTTTGCTCGTGACGTATGACTACTCAAACTAGCGCAGGACATCAACGTTTACAGCCATTCCCTCTGTTCGCTGATTGGACTAGTAAAAAATTGTCTGGAGAAAACCAAAGTATACACCACAATCCCACACGTAGTACTGAAGCAAAATTGAAATTGAGCGGAAGTATGTAGGAGAGCGGAGACGGGGTATCACAAAATTGCGTCACTCCCTAAAAAGTAATGTATTGCATTGTTTAGTTACATTTTTCCGTTACTTTTGCATTACTCTTATAGATTTAATAACAAAAAGCAAAAGTTCTATTTTTGTCAAATGTAAAGGTCTTTTCACACCAAAAGTGAAATAAATAAGCCTCAGGCGGAAGGAAATGCAAAATCCCGCCTGTTCAGTAGACCTCAAACAAACCATTGTGGATCGCAGGAGAAGAAAGTTCAACACTCTTTTCTCAGCAAGAAAAACAAAACACAAATGTGATGTTTATCTAAAGTCATTTTTGCTTATTAGTATGATTGAATTGGATCATCGAAGGTCAGCAGACATTGGTTAAAGTGAGATTAAATACATAAAGTGTATTTGTGTTATTTAAAGGGGTCATGAACTGGCTTTTTAAATTTTATTATATTGTTGTCTGAGGTGAACTTATGACGTTCGCTTGGTTTTTGCATTCAAAACATCAAAATGAATAAGTAATAGGCTATTTTCTACCCTAGTTTTGAGCCTAGCTGAAAAACGCTCGGTTTTTATGGGCGTCTCGCACTGAAGACTTGGAAGTAAACGCCCACTGTTGTGAGTGGATAACAGTTTTGCATAATAATGAGTTTCAACTCACCTGTCTGTGTTTTGAAAACGTCCAATGTTGTAAAATGGCAACCGGAAGGATTCGCCCATACATGTTCGACCCAGAGTCCGTGTGTTGCACAATTCCGTCAGAGTCAATATAGACGGCACAGCCCCGTTCTTTACTCTTAATCGGTCTGCAAATCCAGTCTTGTTTACAAAACAATCCTCAGTGAAATGAAGCGAACAGATGGACAATGTTTTACCTCATCAGCTAGATCGTCATTAAAAATAAAGTTTATCCATGCAGTCCTATTGGTATCCAGAGCCACTGTCTTCTTCCACAACCAGGCACTGCACAATATTCTGTATTGCTCGGTAGCTCGATCCGGTTTGTCCTCACGAGGTAGGAATCTATGTTATTTAGCTATACGTGTAATGCGCGAATCGTTGGGCGGGGCTAAACCGGCCGTGTTGAAGTAGGCGTTGAAATTCTCCTGCGGTGGTGGGGTTTTATCCTCTAGTCTAGTAGTTTGCTGACCCTGGTGTCAATAAAAGCTTTTATTGGACTAACAAGAACGTTTTCATTTCTAAAACTTATTCTTATAATATATTGATAAGAATAAGTATATTCTTCATATGTAATAACATTTTTGCATAGGTCACTGTTCTTATCCATTTTGAGGAAAACTGAATCTGTTTTTGAGTTGTCAGTCAAAATATGGGAAAAGTAATACATTACATTACTAGTTACTTAATTACCCCCAACACTGATAATAATTGATATACAGGAAGAGTATAGAGTGAGGACGCACCGCAAATCCCACACTCAATGAGAATTTGCAGCGCTGTGCCACTAAACTCATATGCAACAGGGAATCGAAGCGCGTCACCGTTCTCCCACTCAACAAATCGGAGCGCCGGGGGCTTTAGACAGGTCTGCGCCAAGGGCATGACCACCTCATAATCTGACCATAGAGCTATAAAATGGATCTGCTCAGATCATTTAATGAGTTCATGTTTGAATGTTTGAGTTTATAATGACATTCATACCTCAAATGTGAATTTTGGGTTCATATTGAGAGACTTTTGATTGCAGGCTGTATCTTGGCACATTTGAGACATTGAGGTTTTTCCACGCTCTAAATGAGACACGAGAGATTAGGGTCTTTTTCTCTGGAAACTTAATTAGATGTCTTCATTTACTCGAGTTATTAATCTCATTGAAACTCATACAAGAAACAATTTAAAATATTATTTGTGTTATTTTACTTTTCTTTGCTATAAGCCTTTCTCATGTTTCCATATTTCCTCATAACACAGTATTTTTTCCATGGATGAACTAACCACAATCTTTAAGACCACCTGGTCTTAATTTTATATTTATGCCCATGGTTCCTTTTGAGTGTCCATCCGTGTGATGAAACGACCCTTGTGTGTGCTACAGTACATGCAGATCCGTGTCTCCTAGCGCTTGCGGATTGGCCGTACAGAAATAATTCTATTCTGGGAGAATGGAAGCTTTGATCTTAATAAAAGGAATGTTTGATGTCTGTGTGATGGTTCATCAGAGCAGGCTAGTTGCCATGGCTAACCTGACGTCAGAGAGGCCAGAGAATATGTTCTTGCTGTTCTCGCTTGCTGTTATTTTGAGCTCATTGTTCTCCTCACTGCATGGGTAATTGTGTGGTTGTAGCCTCTGATCGCAGCTGGACTGGACCACAAGGCTTGAGTGGAGAGATTGGTTGGACTGAGTTGGAATGTGTGAGGAGATACTGGGGTTGCGGGAGTGACGAGATACAGCTTTGGTGGAGATAGATCGATTCAACAGCGGGCCAAATACGTAGCCTTGTGGGACCTCGTAGGATACTGACTGAGTCACTAATCCTGACAGCTTGGCATAGCCATGGTTCAAAGCAACCAATGAGGACTTGATCAAAGCAACACTGTTGATGTATCTGAAGTTTTCCTGTTGG